CTACTGCCTATTTATTCATTATTTCCTATCTAGACCCTTCACACAGACTGAAATCCAAATAATTTAACATTTATCAATGAGCACTCTCAGCTCTAATTGGTACTCAACATAAGTTAGAAGATATGCTTGAGTTAACAACGATAAATTTTGTTGGATGAAATTTAAGTTTGAGTATATGTTATTTAAAAACCTTTGAACCCCCCAGATCTACAACCCTCGTATTTTGTGTGGAGAGGAGGGGGAGGATACAACACAGCAAAACGGGAAACAACTCCCCAACCACACACACACACACACACACACACACACACACACACACACCCCACACACCTTTAATACAAAATGTTTTCAAATAAACTTCGGCTCAGGTAAAGCCAAACACCCACGTCTGCAGTTTCTCACCTGTGTCTCCTCTCCATCTTTCAAATATCGGTTAACTGCCTGTGGTTACCCAATTAGCCACACTTAATTAAGGATACCACTTTCGAAACGCAACAATGATAGAGACTAATTTTACATTGTCTGAGAGAAATATTTATTGTAAACACGAGGCCTTCTTAGACGGCAAAAAAAACATGTGAAGTGTGGTGTGTCGTATGTGTGTGTGTGGGGGGGGGGGTGGTATGATGCGCAGAGTGTGGTATAGTGTGTCGTGTGTGGTTTGTGGTGCGGAGTGTGGTATAGTGTGACGTGTGGTATGACGAATGTGCGTGTGTGCTGTGTCAATCACGTAAGCGCGTGTGTGTCGTGTGTGTAGTGTGCCGTATGTGTGTGTAGTGTGTGTGTGTGTGTGTGCGCCTACCAAGTAAACGGTTGGGGCAAGTCTTGTCAAATAGTAAATGAGGTATCGTGTCACAGCATTGTGTTGTGTGGGTGGGTGGGTGGGTGTGGGTGTAGGTGTGTGTGTGTGTGTGTGCCTTCCAAGTAAACGGCAAGGGCAAGTCTTGTCAAATAGTAAATGAGGTATCGTGTCACAGCATTGTGTGGTGTGGGTGGGTGGGTGTGGGTGTAGGTGTGTGTTTGTGAATCAAATATGTAAATGACCTATTGTGTGTTGAGTGTTGTAAAATTTTAAAATGCGGACCACACTATTGGACAAAACAAACATTTAATTTACATTTTTGTACCACCATATGCAACACACATACATCGTAACATATATGCACTAACATATAAGTATGTTAATATATAAATATGCTTACATATAAAATGCAGACATGTAACAAATATATTAGCATAAAATATGTTAATTTATAAATGCGCAAACATCAATATGCTAACGTATAAATATAGTAATATATAAATATACCACCGCATAGATATCCTAACATACACATATGGTGATAACATAATAACATTTTTATATGTTAACATATAAATATGATAACACATAAATATGATAATAAAAAGTTAAAAATATGTATACATAATTATATATATAAACAAAATTTTAACATGTGCTAATATAAAAAAAAAATATGCTAATATGTGCTATTTAAAATAAACTTTACGGTAAAACTACTCCTTGTCGTTATAAACGGTTCCTATAAGAAATATAATCCTGTAAAAGGGAACAGAATTTTTTTTCTAATTGAGAAATAATTCCTAGATGGCAAAACTATCACTGCGCTTGAAATCAGATACTATTCATGTCTGATTTTTAAAGCATCGCCTCCTACAATTTTTTTTTTCGTTGTTTCATTTTTTTAAATGGCTTTACCTGTTCGCTAATTTCATAAAGCCGCGGACTTAAGCAGAAGTGGCAGACGACGGTGACGTCAGTAGTACGTATCCAGCAGGCCGTAGCAGTCGGTGAAGCAGGCGTTGTAGTTGTCGATGCAGGTGTCGAGCAGGTAGCGGTTGGTGACGTTGAAGTAGCAGACGCTGAACTCGCCGTGGCACTGGTACATGCACGTGTCTAGTTCCGTGGGTTCCCGCGTCGTGACGGGAGCAGCCGACAAGGAAGTGGCCAGAGACAAGACGCACAGCGTCATCACCGGAAGCAGTTGCCAGAAAAGTCGCATCAGATTCTTGTTTGTTGCACACGTTTTGTTTAGGCGCGTCCTGCAATGTTAAAAAAAAAATAATTACATTTTTTTAAAATGTATCTTTTTACGATAACAAAAGCTGCGTATTTGCAAAACAAGTGAATATTATTAATCAGCACATTTTACTCAGCGTGGTGTCACTAAGTAAACACTCCTCTGGCGTTGTTTTGTGACGTCAAGAATGTATTGACCTCTCATAAAAAATATTTTGAACAACGACAATCTAAAACAATTTATATTTTTTTCCCGTTCGTGCCCAAGACATTTGGGCAGATGAAGTAGTGTTCATCTGTTACATAGAACTCAGCATTTAAACTATGCCCAACCGCCTTTAGACCCAGTGACATTCTACTGACTTGAACCCGGATTCGAACTCTAGACTATCGGGTTAGCAATCTAGCTCTCAACAGCTAAGCCACACCACCACATCAATAAAGTAAAATTTAAATTAAAAAAAAAAAATTTAATTTATAATTGCCATTTAAAGAAAATAAAACTCGAAATATTATCATATAATGTAAATCTTTTTAATGTATTTTTGCAATGAAGGTTTTCCATTGAACAACCGAAAATTTACAAACGTATTCTTAAATTTGGGTCCAAACATATAGTGTTATTTTTATTTATACTGGCCGTTATATATTAAATTTTAACAACATACTGGGAAATGATATTTTGTTTATTTAAATCTTATACAAATTATGAGATCGTGACGTCAATGTTTTCAAGAGACTGGCTTTTTCTATCACGTGGTTAAAACAAATGGTTATATGTGACTAGAAATCCGCAATAAACCTCTATGCCATGACAGTAAACAGAATTGGCAGAACAGGATCTGACGGGTAACGCTTGGCTGAATGCCAGATAACTCTGAGATAACTGTAGTCAGGAAACCGTTAAATTTACTTGACTGAAATTATGTTGATAAACAACTGGTTTTTTTTTTATTAGTTCTAAAATTGTTTCGTTTAAATATAAACAGATATAAACTCAAAGCCTTATTCCGTATTATTAAAATCAGCGACATAGATACTAACTTTCGTTAGCGTAATACATATATGTAAGTTTAATTATAAATTTCGTTTGTGCTTATTCTGGGGAAAAAAAAACGAAACTTGCATGCTTGCAGTTTTAGTAAAAAGCATGCAAAAACTTATCAACTTACATTGCGTTGTTTTTTATTTTAAATAAAATTCGTATTTCCTGCTTTATCAACCAATCTAGGCGAAAAGTTAAAATGCGAAAGAAATTCAGCAAGTCTTGAGTGAAAAAAGTCTAAGCAACTCAAGGTCGAGTCAGTCACGTTGAGTGTTGAAACTGGTGAGTAGAAAGATGCATCAGACGCGCGAGCTTATAGCGTAGAGCCGGGTTGAACTACGTCATAATTTTTTCCTGCTCACCCCCGTCATGTCAGAGCACACATTGTCTATACTGCAGGTGCACGGCGGGCGGTCACAGTGCTCACTTACAAGAATCATTTGTTTGTTGGGATCTGTTGAACACAATGTAGCGAATTGGAGGAAAGTGTGGTGTATTGGAGGGGGTGTAGGGCGGGGGTGGGAGGAGGAGATGAAAGTGTTATAGTATAAGTTTATTGATATGGGAGTGGGGCTTGATGTAGAAACTCTACTTATGACAGTATGTACGAGTTACACTTGTGACATGCGTGATATTTGTGACACGGTTGTGACGGTTTTATTTTGACGGGTTTAAGTTCTTGCCTAATGTTAAGCCCTACTATTTTAGCTCGGTTTTTGCTTATAAATTCTCTCGTATCATAGCTAAAGAAACGATGGTTATTAAATCTTGGTATATAACTGTACGGGTTGGGGGGGGGGGGCACCTCCAGTGGGATCGGGCTATACTAATGGTAGGTAAGTTTTTAACAAAACCGCTTGGCTTTCGATAAAATATCCAGAGGTGGAATGTTGAAATAATATATATTGCTTTAAGAGAACACGATATGCAATTATCAAACTCTGTTTACCGAAAATCGCTCATACGTCGATAGTGTCTAATATGAAATTCGTCCACCTAACTGAAACGGTACTCGTGTCATCGTTGTTTTTTTTTTTTTTTTTTTTTTTTTTTTTTTTTTTTTTTTAAATTTTTTTGAGAAACAAAGAAAAGATTGAAAGGACCACTTCCGGTAACCGGAAATTACTGGAAAATCGATAGAAAACTGCGTATAGGATCCAATATTTATGTATGGAATTTCATCCACCAAACTGAAACGGCATTCAAGTTATCATGTTTTTACACAAAGAAGGGGGGGGGGGTAAGGGAGGGAGAGAGAGAGAGAGATACAAAGACACACACACACAGACGAAATTGCAGAATTGGGTTTTCCCGATTCAGTATGGTGTAAAACGTCGACTTTTGTCAAGCTTTCATTTTCGATTTTTTTTTCTCAAGATTACAATCCCCATCGAGAAAGAAACCGTATGTTATTTGTTATTAACGAGTTAAATTGAGATTTTTATTTCCCATTCGCTGGTACGCTTTCACCTCATTTTAATTTGTAGAAAAAAACAACGTATTTTTGCTGGTGAAGCGAGCACAATTTCTCCCATCTCTCGTGCATTCTTCAGACCATTAGCCGCGTCGCTCTCAGCCAAAACGAGGCGGCTCTTTTGTAACGTAAATATTTTTCAATGCAATAATTGTTTTCCCATTCGTCAAACAAGGTCATTCGGTGTTCCATAGTTGTGGCTTTATTTTTAGCACTCGGTGTGCCATAAGCGACGTGGGTTTATCGCCATTCTTGCATGTTTTTGTCACACGGTGTAATTAAGGTTTTGATTTAAAATAGACCTTTTTGCGACGTAGCTTATGAATGGAATTAAGGTTTTAATTTAGCTCTTGGTGGGATTCGCACACACCTTGATCCGGTTGACTGAGTGAAGAGTAACAAAAATAAGATACGGTAAAGACATAGGATTGTTGTGAATGATGTTGCAATACATTGGTAATGATGTTTGGAAAAACATTATTTATCTAAAGCAGCAGGTAATTAAAAAAAAAGTAAAAAAAAATATATCGTGAAACTCCACCAGGTCCACCAAACTCCACCAGGACCACCAAACTCCACCAGGACAACCAAACTCCACCAAACTCCACCAGGACCACCAAACTCCACCAGGACAACCAAACTCCACCAAACTCCACCAGGTCCACCAAACTCCACCAGGACCACCAAACTCCACCAGGACAACCAAACTCCACCAAACTCCACCAGGACTACAAACTCCACCAGGACCACCAAACTCCACCAGGACAACCAAACTCCACCAAACTCCACCAGGACTACCTAACTCCACCAGGACAACCAAACTCCACCAAACTCCACCAGGACTACAAACTCCACCAGGACCACCAAACTCCACCAGGACAACCAAACTCCACCAAACTCCACCAGGACTACCTAACTCCACCAGGACAACCAAACTCCACCAAACTCTACCAGGTCCACCAAACTCCACCAGGACCACCAAAATCCACCAGGACTACCTAACTCCACCAGGACCACCAAACTCCACCAGGACTACCTAACTCCACCAGGACAACCAAACTCCACCAAACTCCACCAGGACTACAAACTCCACCAGGACCACCAAACTCCACCAGGACAACCAAACTCCACCAAACTCCACCAGGACTACCTAACTCCACCAGGACCACCAAACTCCACCAGGACTACCAAACTCCACCAGGACTACCTAACTCCACCAGGACCACCAAACTCCACCAGGACTACCTAACTCCACCAGGACAACCAAACTCCACCAAACTCCACCAGGACCACCAAATTCCACCAGGACCACCAAACTCCACCAAACTCCACCAGGTCCACTAAACTCCATCAGGACAACCAAACTCCACCAAACTCCACCAAGACCACCAAACTCCACCAAACTCCACCAAGACCACCAAACTCCACCGGGACCACCAAACTCCACCAAGACCAACAAACTCCACCAGGACAACCAAACTCCACCAAGACCACTAAACTCCACCAGGACCACCAAACTCCACCAGGTCCACCAAACTCCACCAGGACTACCAAACTACACCAGGTCCAACAAACACAAACTGGACCACTAATCTTACAATAACCACCAAATTCCAGGCTCACCTAATTCGACAACAAGGACCACCAACTTTGGTTTAAGTCTAGCGTTACTTTCAGGCTCAGAATTTCTGATGGCGTTTTATCAATTTAACTAGTGGATTCAATGAGGTCTTGTCGCTTCAGTGGACCCAGTGAGTCTTGTGCCTTTAGATAGGGGTCTGGTATATACTGGCTCATACTGTCAGAAGATATAACATACTGTCACAAGATATAACATACTGTCACAATATATAACTTACTGTCACAAGATATAACATACTGTCACAAGATATAACATACTATCACAATATATAACTTACTGTCACAATATATAACATACTGTCACAATATATAACATACTGTCACAAGATATAACATACTGTCACAAGATATAACATACTGTCACAAGATATAACATACTATCACAATATATAACTTACTGTCACAATATATAACATACTGTCACAATATATAACATACTGTCACAAGATATAACATACTGTCACAAGATATAACATACTGTCACAAGATATAACATACTGTCACAATATATAACATACTGTCACAAGATATAACATACTGTCACAAGATATAACATACTGTCACAAGATATGACATACTGTCACAATATATAACATACTGTCACAATATATAACATACTGTCACAATATATAACTTACTGTCACAATATATAACTTACTGTCACAATATATAACATACTGTCACAATATATAACATACTGTCACAATATATAACATACTATCACAATATATAACATACTGTCACAATATATAACATACTGTCACTATATATAACATACTGTCACAATATATAACATACTGTCACTATATATAACATACTGTCACAATATATAACATACTGTCACAAGATATAACATACTGTCACAAGATATAACATACTGTCACAAGATATGACATACTGTCACAATATATAACATACTGTCACAATATATAACATACTGTCACAATATATAACTTACTGTCACAATATATAACTTACTGTCACAATATATAACATACTGTCACAATATATAACATACTGTCACAATATATAACATACTATCACAATATATAACATACTATCACAATATATAACATACTGTCACAATATATAACATACTGTCACTATATATAACATACTGTCACAATATATAACATACTGTCACTATATATAACATACTGTCACAATATATAACATACTGTCACAAGATATAACATACTGTCACAAGATATAACATACTGTCACAAGATATGACATACTGTCACAATATATAACATACTGTCACAATATATAACATACTGTCACAATATATAACTTACTGTCACAATATATAACTTACTGTCACAATATATAACATACTGTCACAATATATAACATACTGTCACAATATATAACATACTATCACAATATATAACATACTATCACAATATATAACATACTGTCACAATATATAACATACTGTCACTATATATAATACTATCACAATATATGACAATCCATGTCAAAAGATGAGGCTAATTGTCAGCCCCTCTCAAGCTAAATTTGCCCCAGCGATGCAAGTATTACAAACAAATAGGTGTGACTGATCTAAAAATAGACATTGTTTTCTTCGCCCTACTTGCATCTTATCAACAAACTACTCACGTTCTCACAGTTGGGAAAACAATCTTTGACTTATGCCCCACTTACTCACCAACCTACACACACATACACACTTCACCTACAGAACACTCACCTCCTAGTGTTCCTCAACAACGTAATTATTTGACCTCGACATTGAGGTGTAAAGTTATGGGAAAAACTCGCGACCTCAAAGTTAAAAATAGTTACAGGACTAAAATAGAATTGTTCACGCGACTTTTGTTATTTTATGCTTACTTTCTATTGGTCAGCTTACGCGGTGACCAAGCTTTGGGGCTACCCTTCATCTATAACCCGCCAAGAAAATAATTCATTTGGCCGCGAGATAACCCATTTTTCTGTCCACCTTGTTTAGTTTTTTTCAAGGGAAATAAGCAGCTATTAATGAACCTATTTGTTCAAAACGTTAAAAGCTAATTGATAAACTTCTAGTTTCAATTTATCTTTCATAGTTTCATATTGTTTAAATTTTTCTTCGTGCTTAATTGTAGAATTGCAGAGAATTTCTTCCAATACAATTATTATTTACGTGACATGATGGTATGCACTAACAGCATTTATCAATCAAAGGAAAATCTACAAGTAAGCAGTTGTTGTATTTAAATAGCGTCATGTTTGTAGTAACTAAATTCATTTCTGTACTTACACGTCACAACCAAAATAAACCGGGAGTGATCTCCCCTAAACTTTCTCGAATATTCTTATATAAAACAACAGGGGATGGGAACTCGGGCTATAGACATGATTTTTAATTCATTTTAAAGACTTAAAGTTTTAAAAATAGAATAAAATCTCGTAGACAAAATAATTGCACACCAATTGAACGCCAAATAAAAAAGTGCATAATAGTGCGCAATATTATTAGTACTTTAAAAATTTTCATTAGGTTTTTGAGAAATCGGAAGTAGCGTAAATTACTACTTCCGTTCAACGGAAATTACTCAAAATTTGAGAGAAGGTAGAGAATTAGATCTGTTATTTACTTGTGAAATTTCATTTATCTATCTGAAATAGTACTCAAGTTATAGGCTTTTGAAAAATTCAAAGTAGAAAAAGTACCACTTCCGGTTATCGGAAATCGCTCAAAAGTTGATACGGATCTACGATTTCGATGAAATACTTATATATGAAATTTCATCAACCTAGCTGTAACGGTACTCAAGTTATCGTGTTTACACACGGACACACACACACACAGACACACAGACATACGGACAGAATTGCAAAGCCCAGTTTTTCAGAATGGATTACGCATAAAACCTCTTAATTTTGATAAATCTGGATTGATAATTTTTGCCCGATTAAAATAAGTCCTCTGTACTTCGGATGTGATGAAGGACTGAGGTGTAATACGGTGAAAATTGTTAAAATTTCAAGTGATTTTTGTGCACGATTACAATACTTTCTCTATACTTCGTATATACGAGAAAGTAAAAATCAAAAAAAAAAAAAGAAAGAAAAGTAAAAAAAAAAACACGTCAAAAACTAACAACAATCAACATGGACGGTGGTATTCTTAACCGTCACATTACTCTATCAAAGCTATTGCCATTTTTGACAATGACGGTGTTACCGTCATTGTCAAAAATGGCAATAGTACTTTGCCAAGAGTCTGTTAGACTCTTGGCAAAGTACTATTATGAAACATTTCCAACTGCAAAAGATCAAAAGCTTTTGAAAAGAATTTGTTCAACAAGACACAGAGAGCAAATGCTGAAATCATCATGTTTAAAGGCCTGACTTGTGTGTACAAGAGCAATGTGGATCTTTTCTTCTATGTTGTGGGCTCCTCCATGGAGAATGAGCTCATTCTAGCCAGTGTTCTGAATGCATTCTATGACTCAATCAGCCAAATATTGCGGAAGAATGTTGAGAACAGGGCACTGCTTGACAATTTAGATGCTGTGTTCTTGGCAGCTGATGAACTCTGTGATGGGGGGATTGTATTAGAGGCAGACAGTAACGCCATTGTACAGAAAGTTGCAATAAGAAATGAAGATATTCCACTGGGAGAACAGACGATGGCACAAGTGTTGCAGTCTGCCAAAGACCAGATCAATAGTCTCTACTGAAATGAGTTTTTGTATCTAAGTCACTGGACCATTTTGTGTAGAGTTTGACTGTATAGGGACTATGTGTAAGTCACTGGACCATTTTGTGTAGAGTTTGTATGGGGACTGTGTGTAAGTCACTGGACCATTTTGTGTAGAGTTTGACTGTATGGGGACTGTGTGTAAGTCACTGGACCATTTTGTGTAGAGTTTGTATGGGGACTGTGTGTAAGTCACTGGACCATTTTGTGTAGAGTTTGTATGGGGACTGTGTGTAAGTCACTGGACCATTTTGTGTAGAGTTTGTATGGGGACTGTGTGTAAGTCACTGGACCATTTTGTGTAGAGTTTGACTGTATGGGGACTGTGTGTAAGTCACTGGACCATTTTGTGTAGAGTTTGACTGTATGGGGACTGTGTGTAAGTCACTGGACCATTTTGTGTAGAGTTTGACTGTATGGGGACTGTGTGTAAGTCACTGGACCATTTTGTGTAGAGTTTGTATGGGGACTGTGTGTAAGTCACTGGACCATTTTGTGTGGAGTTTGACTGTATGGGGACTGTGTGTAAGTCACTGGACCATTTTGTGTAGAGTTTGACTGTATGTGGACTGTGTGTAAGTCACTGGACCATTTTGTGTAGAGTTTGTATGGGGACTATATGCAAGTCACTGGACCATTTTGTGTAGAGTTTGTATGGGGACTGTGTGTAAGTCACTGGACCATTTTGTGTAGAGTTTGTATGGGGACTGTGTGTAAGTCACTGGACCATTTTGTGTAGAGTTTGTATGGGGACTGTGTGTAAGTCACTGGACCATTTTGTGTAGAGTTTGTATGGGGACTGTGTGTAAGTCACTGGACCATTTTGTGTAGAGTTTGACTGTATGGGGACTGTGTGTAAGTCACTGGACCATTTTGTGTAGAGTTTGTATGGGGACTATATGCAAGTCACTGGACCATTTTGTGTAGAGTTTGTATGGGGACTATATGCAAGTCACTGGACCATTTTGTGTAGAGTTTGTATGGGGACTATATGCAAGTCACTGGACCATTTTGTGTAGAGTTTGACTGTATGGGGACTATATGCAAGTCACTGGACCATTTTGTGTAGAGTTTGTATGGGGACTATGTGTAAGTCACTGGACCATTTTGTGTAGAGTTTGTATGGGGACTGTGTGTAAGTCACTGGACCATTTTGTGTAGAGTTTGACTGTATGGGGACTATATGCAAGTCACTGGACCATTTTGTGTAGAGTTTGACTGTATGGGACTGTGTGTAAG